TGCTTGGCCTGCTGTGTTCATCCAGCTCTACACCTTGTTATCTCAGATTCTCCAGCATCTGCAGTTTCTGCTATCTCTGGTATCCCCTGTGCTGGATTATTTACAATGGCTTCTGCAAGCCTTCCATCATTGGTCAATACACCCACTAGCATTCATATAGCTCCACGTGCTGTAAGATAGGCCTCATCAGGAAACTTGTAACTAACACCCTAGCCATTTGTTCACTTTGCAAGCTTGATGCAGAAATTGAACGCACTAAAACTAATAGAGTCATAGATTCATACAGCATGGAAACAGACTGTTCAGTCCAATTCGTCCATGTTCACTATAATCCTAAACTAAACTAGTCCCACCTGCCTTTACGTGACCCATTTCCCTCCAAACATTTCTTATTCATGTACTTATCCAAATGTCTTTTAAATGTTGTAACTGCATTCACCACTTCCTCCAAGTTCATTCTACATGCAAACCACTGTCTGTGTAAAACATTTGCCCCTCATGTCCTTTTTAAATCTTTCTCCTCTCACCATTAAAATATGTCCCCAGTCTTGGAATCCATTAGCCTCATGAAAAGACACCTGTCATTCACCTCATGTATACCCCTCATGATTCCATAAACCTCTATAAGGTCACCTCTTGACCTCCTACACTCCAGGGGAAAAAAAGTCCCAACCTATCCAGCCTCTCCTTATAACTCAAACCTTCCATTCCCAGCAACATTCAGCACACCATGGCTATCCAAATCAGACCATTGCTCACTATGAAATGAAAGTTTTTTTTCTTTCAACCATATTTAAAACGTGGTCACTACTGAAATCTGGTATATAAGACAGACAACTTTCTTTTATATCAACATTCAATCAAGAGTAACTACCTTTTGACCACATAATCTGTTTTAGGGGTTGTTTGGTGGATGTATGTTGACAATCCCCAAGGAAACAAAAAATGGCACTCCTCCAGCTGCTTTAATTAAGCTGTGTTGCTTAAATCAATAAATTCACATGTGCAAACAAAAAGGTACAATTCAATTTGTTTGGTCATGGAAAGATTTGCTTATTAAAGTTGCTTCACACTGAAGTGAACTGTGACGTCCACCCTTACTGACCTGTTCCGTTCAGATCAACCATCAGTCCATTGTTGACATGTTCCTGAATGAGCTGCAGAGTTCGTTCAAAAATTTCCCCTGCTCTTGCAAGATCAAAAACAATTGGAAGTCGTGGATATCGAAACAAGGCAAGCAGTTCATTTGGGGTTTGAGGCCTTCTGTTAGAGGATAATGTTCAGACAAAGAAAACCTCGTTAGTGTTCCGATCCAAAACCATTCAGTCATTATTTATGCGACGATAAAACTGAGATCCTTTGAAATGTAATTCAGTTCAATACAGTCTAGCTTTCTTGAAAAAGAAAGTCTTGAAACTATTCCAGCTCATTCGGCAACTTGTTCTAATGCATTTTTAGAAGTTTCATTTGTTCCAGTTACATTCATCAATAAATCGCTTTGAAGAAGGTAGATATGTTAAGCAGGAAGATGTCTTTATGTTTAATGTCATAAAATCCATAAAATCCAAAGTACATTGACCAATAATACTGAGTGCAAAACATAGCTGAATGCATAGAAAGGCCTCAAACCATGATTTATGGCGTCAAGTGATACAATGTTTTCTGGTAAAAAGATTCAAGTGTATTTTAAAGGAGGAAATTAACAGATGAATAGCAACAAATCATGCTCCATCAAAAGTAGTTGAGAAAACGGTAGCTCACAGAATATATAAAATGCTAATACGACTGATACTATACCTGCACTATATCGTCCAAGATGGTTAGAAAGGTAAGAAAAAAAAAGAAGACACTGTTAAATAAGAAAACAAGATAAACAAGTGTAAACACAGAAAGTGACAAAAGTCTTAATTTCTGACGCTTTTGCTGATCTGCATAATATCTTTTCTCTATCCAAACTGAATCTAGAAGTCAAAAACAACTTTAAGAAAATAAAACTGATCCACTGTAACCAAATACTCTATACTGTTAATCACAAGTAATGAAATGTGAAGAATGCATTTCATGGAAGATAAAACAAATAGAACAAGCCACACAATGTGGAAGCAATGATGAATGGAAAGTTCTAAAAACATATTTCATCTTGCCGATTCTCTCTCATTCCTCATCTTGCCTTTGGCTCTCTTCCCAATTGCTTCTCACAAAGCTGGTTTCCCTTTGTGATCTACAGTACCCTGGGCTGCCTCAATGGAAGCAGCAGACCAACTGAACAAGTTGCAGATGCATTAGCCCCCTCTGGCAAACAAAAAGCTCCATCTGCCACATCTCAACATGGAAGTACAGATAAAGCCCTCCACCCCTGAGACTTTTAACTGAGAAATGTCACATTTTCACATTAACAGACAAATCTCTTATAAATATGATGAAGGCTGGGTCAGTAACGTAATAATGAAAACAAGATTATACTTGGGTCACCCAATCTAACACACTATACTCTATTACTCAGCAGTACCTCATTTCTTTACAGCAGTTACTTAATTATGATATCTATTGCACACCACTTATAACACAAGCTTTTGTAGCATTTATTCCTCAGCCCAATTCAACAGGTTATGTATATTTTCTGGACATAATTGGTTTAGCAACATCCACCTAAAAATGCCTAAATTAAAAAAAAACGGCCACCACGCTTGCAGTATTTTTCACACTTGAACCTTTCCCAACAATTACTTTGCAACTTAGATATTAGGAGCTAGCCTCACATGTGTACTCCTTGGATATATCAGAGAGCCTTACAGGAATACAGAACAAGTAAACACTGTAGCTAAGTACTATCCCAGGTATTTCTACAAAAGGATTTGGAATTTACTTAAGTGCTTTTGGAATAAGTAATAACTGCTGCGATACTTGGCATAAATGATACCTAATAACTTTTCAGCTGTTTTCTTTTGGAGCAGGAGATGAATAGAAGCTCTTCTGAAAATGTCAAATGTATGAAATATCTTTAAATATTTCTTTGTACCAGTCAAAAAGCGTTATTCAAAAAGCAGGTTACATAGAGGAAAAAAAAACATTCCAGAGATACACTCCATACACTAGCAGGACATACCAGTAGAATTTAATTTTACCTTTCAAATAAATCTCTACGAGTGGAATTGATGGCACTGTCAACACTTTGAATGGCTTCTTTGATTGAGGACTCGACAAAAGTGTCTCCACTTCGAACAATATCTGGGACTGGTGAGGTGATAAGGAAGTTAGACACAACTGAAGCAGAGATAATTTTAGATAACATTTTTAACTTTACATCAACAGCTGACATAAAGGAAAACCAAAGTATCTATGCGTTCACGCTATGAATTCTGATTGCCGCATATTTTGCATTATTTGTTATAACAGAAACATCTAACTTCCATAGTAGTTAAAGTGATGATTAGCAGCAGTACTGGTGGGATGATCTGGGCCCTTATTTGGCAATTGCTAAGTATTTAAATGAAAAATACAAAAAGCTTAGTGAAGGTGAGGCAACAAGACAAAAAGGACATGGATTGGCAAGATTGACCATATGTTCACATCCATTCTAAACCAAATTCATAAATTAATCTGCATGAATTTCACAACCAAAGTTAACGATAGCAGATCCATTAGACCCAGCACAAGCCCATGTTATAGACTTACCAACCACAGTCAGCACCATACTAGCTGCAGAATGATCAATGCTGTTCCTGGCAACACACTGATATCGTCCCTGATCTGCAGGTCCAACATCATGAATTGAAAGGAATCCTTCAGGGCTAATGTGGAACTTTCCACTCTCTGTAATCTGAATTCCGTCCTATATTGAAAACATTGTGTCATTGTTGTATATTTGTACAGACAATGCCGGCACTCTTTCAGATAATGCTCTGATATTACTTTGTAGATTATCAATTAAAAGTTTAAGTAGATTAAAAAACACTCATTGCAGCCGTTATAGATTTGTATCATGTCTGAACCAAGGCTTACTAAATATATAATATTAGATTAAATACCATTTCAGCATTCTGACTGCAAGTGTGAAAAAGTATTCTAGACAGAAATTTTCCAGTACAATGCAGCTTCCCAAGATATACCCAAAATTATCTTCAAATAACTTGCACAATTCTGGAAAAAGTCATTAACAACAAAAAAAAAATGTGCTACCAGAAGAAGCTTGCATTTATAGAGTGCCTTTCCTGATCACAGGATATCTCAATGGGCTCTATAGTCAGCAAAATATTTTTGAATTGCCATAATGTGAAAAACGTGCCAGCCAATTCACTAAAAGTAAGCTCTAAAAAACTTCAATGGTCAGAAAATCAGTTTTACTGAAGTTGATTGAAGATCAATATTAGCCACGCCATCAGCATAATTCCAGCATCTTCCCCAACACAGTGCTGTGGGATATTTTGCATCCATTTGACAGAACGGACAGGCTCCCTGTTTTAACATCTTATCCAAAAGACAACACTCCCTCAGTACTGTATTGCAGTATCAGCCTTAATTTTTGTTGTTAAGTCCTGGGGTCAGATGTCACAGGACATTGGTGTTCCCGCACGTGCTCCCAACCCCATCACTCCTAATGGTGTAATCAGTTTCAAACCCACAGCTCTTAATAAAAAAGTGATAATTATTGTTTCAAGACAAGATGCCCTTAAATGTCTACTATCAGCCCACACAGTGAAAGTTTCCGGAACGGACACTTGGTAAGCAGTTCTCCCACCACAGGAGGAGACCATTACGTGACTGTCAAATGAGCATCGAAGGAGTTCAATTAGTCCATAGACACAGAAGTCTCCCCAATACCTCCCCACTGCTGGTAAAAATATACTGGGGGGAAAGGGGAAGGCAGTCAGGAAGTGGGTATGGGGCTTTACAGCATCCCACCTCCTCTTAGAGTGGGGCTTGAAGCCACAACTTTGTGAGAGTGCGACCAACAGTTTAACTATATTTTTTTAAGTTCTCTTGACTGCAATCTAAAACATTCACCTGGATTAGCAGGTGCTGTTCAATTTCATACAGAAATAAAAAGAGCAAGAGAAAGAGCAAGAGAGAGTAACAGTGAGAAAATGAAACAAGAAAGAAAAAGAGTGAATACAAAGAGCAGAAGAGTGAAGAAAAAAAGAGCAAGGAAAGAAGAATTAATGAATAAAATAAAGAAAGAGTGAAGAAAAGAAAAAATGAACAAAAGAGTGAAAGAAAGAAAGTGAAAGAACAGTGAAAGAAAGAGTGAAAGAAAAACAAAAGAGTGAAAGAAAGAAAGAAAGGAGAACTTTGTACACTTCAAACAGATTCCCCCATCAGCTTTCTCTGTTTAAAGGAGAACAACATCATCGTATTCAGCCTCTCCACAAAGCTGAGATGCTCCATCCCAGGCAACACCTTGGTGAATCGCTTTGCACACTTTCTAAACCAATCACATCCTTCCTACAGTGTGTCAACCAGAACTACACACACTACTCCAGCTTTGCCTAACTAATATGACAAAACAAGTGTCAGAGCCTTTGCAATTTCCTTTGTCACCTCCCACAGCAGCCTTGGATACATTTCATTTGGGCCTAGGGATTTATCCACTTTTGAGCCCACTAAATTGCTCCTTCTTTTAGCTAATTTGTTGAAGTATATCACATCCATTTCCTTGATATCTAGACCTTCTTCTCCCCTACAGAACATTTTTTCATCAAAATAGCTCAACTAGATCATAATTTAATTTTCATTACTGAAGGGAATAATATCCTAGTGTATGCAACCTGTTCTTATAAATTAACCATATCAAACTAGCATCACTTTTGTAAATCTTCACTTTAAATCCACTCCCAAGACAATGCACCCTTTCTGAAGCATGCAGCAGTACTCCAGGCGTAATCTATCAGGACCTTTACAAAACTGTAATAATCCTTTCGATATAAGTCCCTTTGAGATAAAGATTCAATTTACTAACATTTTAATTTTTTTCTGTACCTATTCACTAGGTTTTGGCTTTTGTTATCTGGAACCCCCAAATCTCTTCGCTTTGCCACAGCTCCTGGCTTTGAATCATTTTTAAAACGCTTTTTTAAAATTTATTATTGTCACATGTAATGAGATACAGCAAAAAATATTGTTTTGTGCGCTATCCAGGCAAATCGTACCTTATGTAAGTATATCAGCGTAATAGGACGGAATGCAGAACATAGTGGTACAGGTACAGAGAAGGCGCAGAGAAAGATCAACTCTCATATATGACAGGTCCGTTCATCAGTCTGATAACAGTGGGACAGAAACTGTTCTTTAATCTGTTAGTGCATTATTTCAAACTTATATTTTTCTTCAGTACAAAATGAATGACTTCACACTTCCTACACTGACTGGTCCTTCCCACTCACGCTACTCTTAAATGGCAGAATCTATGATATTGTTGGGATCTATTACAGATCAAAGATCGATGAGGAAATCATAATAATCCATCAGAATTGTATCTCCATGAAAACAATGTGGTAATGTTACAATACATGTATAAACATTATGTAACTCCTTAAGAGTCAATAAAATGTAGTTAACCCTAGAACAAAAATAAAGTTGCTGGAAAAGCTCAGCAGGTCTGGCAGCATCTTGAAGGAGAAAACAGAGTTAACGTTTCGGGTCCGGTGACCCTTCCTCAGAACTGATGGTGGCTGGGAAAATGTCAGTTTATATGCAGAAAATAGGGAGGTGGGTGGGGTAGGGAGTAAACGATAGGATAGAGCCCGAAGGGAGAGAAAGACAGTTGGACAGACAAAGGAGTTGCTAACGATCAGGCTGGGAGGGTGAATAGTTGTTAATGGAGAGCCCTCCGGACTCAATATTGAGTTCAATAATTTTAGGGCCTAAACTCTCCCATGTCCCAGCCCCCCACCCCACACACCAGGCCTTGTTACCACATAGCTTGCCACTACACACCCCCTGTTGTTAGTCACTAACAGTCCCTATTAACAACTATTCACCCTCCCAGTCTGATCGTTAGCAACTCCTTTGTCTGTCCTACTGTCTTTCTCTCTCTTTGGGCCCTATCCTATTGTTTATTTCCTACCCCACTCACCTCCCTATTTTCTGCATATAAACTGACGTTTTCCCAGCCACCATCAGTTCTGAGGAAGGGTCACCGGACCCGAAACGTTAACTCTGTTTTCTCCTTCACAGATACTGCCAGACCTGCTGAGCTTTTCCAGCAACTTTGTTTTTGTTCCTGATTTACAGCATCTGCAGTTCTTTTGGTTTTTATTTAGTAATTGACCCTAGTACAATTCAAAGCTTATCTCACCTTTGGACCACAGTTAATTTTATAAAAAGTGTGGATGCCTCTCAGTTTTGAAATCAGAAGTTTTAGATGGATCATATGAAATCAAGGTATTTGTATTGTGTTAAAAATTTGGGGCTAATGTACATATTGAAACCTTCATAAAAGTGCTTTTTCTCCCCAGTGTCACATATTTCCAACACTTGCCTACCTTTTCTTCTATACAGTGATCCCAACAAATCTTTGACATTCCCTCTCCCATGAAGATAATCTCTGTAAATATGAACAACTGTCTCTGTCTAACCAGTATGATCTGATAAAGAAACACAGTCCATTCAAGCTAAGGAGTTAAGGCAATGCTCAAGATAACAGACTAAAAATTTCTTAAACTATGGCTGAGGACATTAGAGAAGGAGGATTAAATATGTTGATGGCTATGATAAAATTAGAATCCAAGTCCAGAGTTTGAAGGTTTTATGCCTGTCACAGCATTTGGCTGCTTGAAAAAGATGCATACCACTGTACTTTAATACTTCAATAGTATTCAGGTACAAAGATTGTGAAGCTACCTGATATGAGATTAAATACAAATGGCTGTTTGGTAATATCTATACAGTCAGGTTGAAAAGATTGCAAAGCAAGAGAGATATATATAGTATTGCATTTGAAATAACAGAAAATATTATGCACATTCGATTAATTTCAAATTCAGTCAATCTTCCAATGAACTTGATCACCAAGCTTAATGTAAAAAAAACACGCTTAGCATGTGGATTTTTATTTAAAAAAAATTGACTGAAGTTTTAAAAAAGCATCCATCCAGGTTAAAGGAGCTTATATTTATCACTAAATTATCAACATGGGATCATAGAGTCAAGCAGCAGGGAAACAGATGCTTTCATCCAACTTGTCCACGCCGACCAAATTTCCCAAACTAAACCAGTTCTACTTGCATTTGGTCCATATCCCTCTAAATCTTTCCTATTCACGTACCTATCCAAATGTCATACAGTCATACAGGCCTACAGCATGGAAACAAGCCCTTTGGCCCAATCTGGTACATGCTGACCATGTTGCCCACTCAGCTAGTTCCAATTCCCTGCGTTTGGTCCATAGCCCTCTAAACCCTTCCCATCCATGTACCTATCCAAACATTTTTTTAAAATGTTGCTATTGTACCTGCCTCAACCACTTTGTCTGGCAGCCCATTCCATATACGCAGCACTCTCTACGTGAAGAAGTTGCCCCTCAGGTCCTTCTTAAATCTTTCCCCTCTCACCTAAAACCTATGCCCTTCAGTTTTCAATTCCCCATCCCTGGGAAAAAAACAGGTACATGCATTCATCCTATGTATGCTCCTCATGATTTTATACACCTCAATACGGTCACCCCTCATTGTCCTATGTTCCAAGGAATACAGTCCTATCTTGGCCAACCTCTCCCTATGACCCAGGCCTACTAATCCTGGCAGCACCACCGTAAATCTTCTTTGTACACTTTGCAGTTTAACTATGTCTATCCTATGAAAGGGTGACCAAAACTGTACCCAATACTCCATGTGCTGCCTCACCAACGACTTATACAACTGTAACATAAAGACCCAACTCAGTGCCTTGACCAAAGAAGGCCAGCATGCTAAATGCCTTCTTCACCACCTCGTCTACCTGTGATGCCACCTTCAATGAACTATGTACTTGTTCTCCTAGGTTCCTCTGTTCCACAACACTCCTCAGGACCTTACCATTTGCTGTATAAGTCCTACCTTGGTTTGACTTTCCAAAGTACAATATTTCATAGTTACCTGGATTGAATTGCATTTGCCAATCCTCAGCCCACTTCCCAATCTGAACAAGATCCCTCTGTAATTTTTGATAATCTTCCTCGCTATCAAAGAAACCCCCTAATTTTGTATCATCCGCAAACTTACTAATCATGCCTTGTACATTCACATCCAGATCATTTGTGTAAATAACAAATGACAAAGATCCCAGCACTGACCCCTGTGGCACACCACTAATCGTAGGCCTCCAGGCCAAGAAACAACCTTCATTATTTAAATATCTTTTAAATGTTGTGACTGTACCTGCATGTACCACTTCTTCTAGCAGTTCAGTCCACATACGAACCACCCTGTGTGTGCAAACGTTGCCTCTCAGGTCCCTTTTAAAGCTTTCTCCTCTACCTTAAAAATATGCCCCCTTGTTTTGGACAACCCACCCTAGAGAAAAGATCTTTGCTATTCACCTAATCTATGCCCCTCACGATTTTATAAACATCTATAAGGTCACCCCTCAACCTCCTACGCTTCAGTGAAAGAAGTCCCAGCCTAGCCTTATAACTCAAACCCTCCAGTCCCAGCAACATTCTGAGTCCTGCCCTATCCATTAGTAGTCTTCCTATAGCAGGGTGACTAGAATTGTACACAGTACTCCAAATGTAGCCTCTACAACGTCAACATGACATCCCAACGCCTATACTTAATGGTCTGAGCAATGAAGGCAAGTGTGCTAAACAACTTTCTTAACCACCCTGTCTACCTGTGATGCAACTTTCAAAGAACTGTGCACCTGAATCCCTAGGTTTCTCTGTTCGACAACACTACCCAAGGTTCTACCATCAATGCATTAAGTCCTGCCCTTGTTTGTATGCCAAAATGCCATATCTCGCATTTATCCAAATTAAACTCAATCTGCCACTCCTCAACCCATTGACCAATTGATCAAGATCGTTTTGTGATCTTAGATAACCATCTTCACTGTTGGCTATACCATCAATTTTGGTGTTGTCTGCAAAATTACCAAACATGCCTATGTTCTCATCCAAATTGTTCATATAAATGACAAACATAAGTGGACCTAGCACCAATCTCTCCGGAACGCTGCTGGTCACAGACCTCCAGTCCAAGAAACAACCGTCCACCACCAACCTGTGTCCTACCATAAAGCCAGTTTTGTATCCAATTGGCAACTTCTCCCTGAATCCCATGTGATCTAATTTTAGTAATTAGTCTACCTTGCAAAACCTTGTCAAAGGCTCTATTCAAGTCCATGCAGACAATGTCCACCACTCTGCCCTCACCGATCTTTTTGGTTACGTCTTCAAAAAAACTCAATCAACTTTGAGAGACACGATTCCTTGCACACAAAGCCTTGTTGACTATGCCTAATCAGTCCTTGCTTCTCTCAAGGCATGTAAATTCTATCTCTCAGAAAACCCTCCAACAACTTATGCACCACTGATGTCAAATTCACAGGTCTATAGCTCCCAGGCTTCTCCTTACAGACGTTATTAAATAAAGGCACAACATTAGCCACCCTCCAGCACACCTCACCTATGGCAGTAAATGATACAAATATCTGTGCTCGGGGCCCTGCAATTTCTCCCCTAACCTCACACAAAGTCTGGGTAACACATGATCAGGTCCCAGAGATTTATCCACCTTTATCTTTTTTTGAAGACCTCCAGCACTTCCTCTTCTATAATGTGGACTAGTTTCAAGATATCAATATTTATTTCCACGAATTCCCTAGCCTCCACTTCTTTCTCCACTGTAAAACCTGATGCAAAACATCTACTCATAGAATCATAGAGTCATACAGCATGGAAACAGACCCTTCAGTCCAATCAGTCCATGCCGAACATGATCCCAAACGAACTAATCCCACCTGCCTGCTCCTGGCCCATATCCCTCCAAACCTTCCCTATTCATGTACTTATCCAAATATCTTATAAACGCTGTAATTGTACCCACATCCACCACTTCTTCAGGAAGTTCATTCCACATGCAAACTGCCTCTGTATAAAAAAACTGACCCTCATATCTTTTTAAAACGTTTCTCCTCTCACCTTAAAAAACGTATCCCCTAGTCTTGAAAATCCCCATCCTACGGATAAGGCAACTACCATTAATTCTATCTATACCCGTCGTTACTTCATAAACTTCTGTAAGGTTGCCTCACAACCTCCTACGTTCCAGTGAAAAAAGTCCCAGCCTATCCAGCCTTTCTTTATAACTTAAACCTTCCATACTCAGCAACATCCTGGTAAATCTCTTCTGACCCTCTCCGACTTAATGACATCCTTCCTATGACTGGGCAATCAGAACTAGACACAATATTTCAGTAAAGGCCTCATCAATGTTCTGTACAACTCAACATGACTTCCCAACTGCTATACTCAAAGGATTTAGCAACGAAGGTAAGTGTGCCAAACACCTTTTTATATGTCTATATTTGATGCAAACTTCAAAGAATTAGGAACCTGCACCCCTATGTTCCTCTGTTCTACATCACTACCCAAGGCCCTACCATTGACTGTATAAGCCCTACCCTTGTTTATTGTGCCAAAGTGCAATACCTTGCATTTATCCGGAATGAACTCCATCTGCCATTTTTCAGCCTATTGACCCATTTGATCAAGATCCCTTTGTAATCTTAGAAAACCTTCATCGCTGTCTACTATGCCACCAATTTTGGTGTCATCCGCAAACTTACTAACTATGCCTTCTTAATACTTATCCAAATCATTTCTATAAATGATAAACGAAAGAGGACCCAGCACCAAACGCTGTGGAACACCGCTGGTCACAGGCCTCCAGTCCGAAAAGCAACCCTCAACCACCAGTCTCTGTCTCTCGCCGTTAAGTCAATTATGTATCCAATTGTTAAGCTCACGCTGAATCCCATGTCACCTAACTTTACTAATTATTGTACCATGTGGAACCTTGTTGAAGGCTTTACTAAAGTCCAAGTAAACAATGTTTACATCAATCTTTTTGGTAACTTGCTCAAAAAACTCAATCAAGTTTGTGAGACACGATTTTCCTCGCACAAAACCATGTTGACTATCCCTAATCAATTTTGCCTCACTAAATGTCCATAAAACCTATCTTTTATAATCACCTCCAACAATTTAGCCACAACCAAAGTCAGGCTCACAGGTCTATAGTTCCCCGGTTTCTCCTTACAACCTTTCTTAAACAAAGGTACAACATTAGCCACCCTCCAGTCATCAGGCACCTCACCCATTGTTATAGATGATGCAAATATTTCTGCAAGGGGTCTCGCAATTTCCTCCCTTATTTCCCACAACTTTCTGGGATACATTAGGTTGGGTCTCAGAGATTTGTCTACCTTTATATTCTCTAAGACCTCCGGAATTTCCTCTTCTGTAATGTAAATCGCTTCGAAAACATCAAAATTTATTTCTCTGTATTCTCTAGACTCCATTTCATTCTCCACAGTAAAAACTGATGCAAAATATTGATTTAGTATCTTTCCCATCTCCTGGGTTTCAACACAAAGACGACTTCCTTGATCTTTAAGGGGCCCTACCCACTCTCTAGTTCACCTGGAGCATAATCTCTAGAAAATAATTTTCTTCCACACACTCTGCTGACAGTAAGTGTCAAAGTGTCAAATTGTTAACCAAAAATGGTAGCAGATAACGCTTGATGCATTATCGACATAAAATAAAAAAATGGCAGTCACAACTTTTTCAAGCCAATGCTTTCATTGTTGTTGAGCTCTTATCTGCATTGTATGTGATTACGAGTGATAATTATACTTACTCCTTTCGTTAATTTTATTACATCTTTCCAGGTGCGAGCAAACAAGGCAAAATTGGAGATCAATTTTACAGTTAATTTTCTAATTCTACTTTGTAAACATCCCTGTAAAATCTAGAAACTACGAAAGTTTGTCTGTCAGATACAATGTCCACATATAGTTTTCAGAGTAAACATGCTGTGTACCGATGCTTTTAATTCTATTTTTGTAAGGCTATCTCTCACTAGCGAAATCAGTTTCTTTTTAAAAGATTTTTTTTTTAATAAACTACCACTTGGTTTATCTTTCAAAGCATGTTTTACCAAAGTTCTCACCTACCTTACTCCATGTTACAGTTGGCTCAGGTTCCCCTTGAGAACCACAGGGTATCTGCACGTCTGATCCAGCAGCAACAGTCAGATCAGCTGGGGTGTTTGTAATGACCAGTGATACTAGAGGCACCAATAGAAAAAAGGAAAATAAAACTTGGTTATGTTAGAAACATGAATTTGGAAATGTTACTGTTGATATTTTGTTTCCAAGGCTCTGCCAAACAAGGTTAAAAATAAAACAAAACTCCCCAAACCAATTGTGCAAATGTGTTCCTCATTTAGATAGTCATGGCTGTAATTGTGTTCTCAGTTTTGGTGGAGTGGAGAGCGTATACACAGACATGCACAAGAAATCATAACCGTGTGGAACAGTTAATGGCCAGCGGGTCTTTTCCTCAGCATCACCATTTGTATGTTCCAACTAATTCTACAAAGGATGAGGATATGCCTCAGTGTGGACTCAAGGCCCCAGCCTCAGCGTGAACTCAGAGTCCCAGCCTCAGTCTGGTCTCGAAGTCCCAGCCTGAGTGTGGTCTCGAAGGCCTGGCCTGAGCGCGGTCTTGAAGTCCCGGCCTGAGTGCAGTCCTAAGTCCCTGTCTCAGTGTGATCTCGAAGGCCCGTTCTGAGTGTGGTCTCGATTCCGGAGGCACTCCCAGCCTCGAGGTGAAGCCTGGCACGCTCTGGGTTGGAAGGACTGTTATTCTTAAGTGTTATTTCTCTAGTTTTTCTAATTTATTGGTGGATTCTTATTTCCTTATTTTGCTAGTGTTTTCCCCTAAGAAACTGCACTTAAGAATCTGTACCTAGGCTCCTAAGATGGTGCTGTGAGTGGTTACTTGTAAACTTTTGACTGTACTCATCAGAGTACATGTGACAATAAAACAAATTCTAACAACAGATTTAAGCCAAGAATTAATTTCATCTGGATGCTTATGGTACTACCTCTGATTTTTTTTGTTGGAGCACCAATAAAGATAAAAGGGTAAGCAGACTGGCCAACAAAACAGAGCAACATTCCACTTCTTACTAAGTTGTCATGATGATTTTCAAAATAAAAGATTTGAAAGATTTCTTTACATTCATTTTAGACTTATTTCATAACACTCGATCCGAAGACTACCTCTGCGCTGTACAGTCAGCTGGACTGGAACACGGAGAGCACCGACAATGTTATCAGCTTGACATTCGTACTGCCCTTCGTCATGAAGCGCAACGTTGGAAATCCTTAGTGTCCCCGTGGACAGGATTATATGTCGCCTGTCCCCAGGAAGCGGACTGCCTATAAACCAAAGAGAATTTCTATTACACTTCAAGAATTAATCAGATTTCTGAGAGTACTGCAGCAACACTGTCTCCACATGATATTAAAATAGCACACAGTGCCAGCTTATTCTCACTTGCTGAGATATGTCTCAACAATATCAGCAATGCTTACATTCATGGAGTCTGGTTGGTAACCAAATCATTTGGCCAAGGCCAAAATGATTCGACAGGAAAATGTGCAAATCTTTCAAACAAGTCTGTTCATGAGATAAATACCTCTTTTTGGGATAATGAGCAGTGTCTGAAACAACAAGCATACATGCAAATTATTCCCTAATCTATCTACTGGATGAAGTGAAAGTGAGTTATGTATGAAAATGTCAACGTTTTACCGATGTGTTCTCCATGTAACAAACATTGTAAATTGGAATAATGCGGGTAATTATTTTAATACTCTATCCATGATAAAAAGATGAAAATTGGCCAAACTGTGAAGTCACAACCAACAGATTACAATAAATTCTCAAATCGCCAGCCACATTCAATGTTCATTTATCTTATAGGAACAGAAAAAAAAACCGATAGTTAGTTACAACAAGTCTGAGATTTTTTGGTTATCTACATGAAACACAACTCAGTAGAACTGGATACAGGCTTTATTCTACAAAACAATCAAGAGAAAGAGAAGAAAATAGAAAATGCTGGAGAAACTCAGTAGGTGTGGCAGCATCTGTGAAGACAGAAGTAGTCGAGTCCAATATGGCTCTTCTTCAGAACTCAAATTAAAATGAGATCTTTCCACAACCCAATAGATAACACAGATAATGTCAATTTGTTCAGTCTTTGTTGGGATATGGAGGTGCTTAGCCCGAATTCATTTCTGACAGTAGACTGTATATCATACCTCCTTTAGTCCATGTTAGCGTTGGAGCTGGATTACCCTCAGCCTCACAATGAAAATCCACGGTATGTCCCTCAATAATGGTTTGATCTTGTGGCAAGATCGTAAACTGAGGTGGAGCTACGGATAAAAGGCACGGGGGAGAAGTTATTTTTTCAAAGAAACACTTCTTAAATTCAAACATAAATACAACTTAAGTGAAATAAAGTGGTTTAAATTTCAGAAAGAAATTCAACAAGCAAAGTAATGCACAGAGGTTCTTTTGAGAGGGACAGCGCTGAAAATTTGGAAAATTATCTTCAAGTTACAAAACCTCAATTGGGTCACAGTTGGGAGTTCTATGAGCAGTTCTGGATCTCACTACTAATAAGGACATATATGTTCTGGAGAATGTGAACAAAGATTTATTCGAAGCACATCAGAACTGAGGTATTATACCCATCAAGAAAAATTGAAAAGATGAGTAGGGATTATTAACGATGTCAGCTAGGTAGACTTCATAGATTATGAGTTCCCTGATTGGGGCTGTTAATATGGTCTAATCAGGGAGCCCTAGCTGACAGATATATAATCAGGAGTGTCAGACATGCTGTCTCTCTGAGAGCTGGCCTTGAGGGAATTGGACCAGTGTCAAGGCCTCTCCACATGCAAATAGAGGATGACTTGGCAATGGGATACTGGCCTCTCTGGAGTAATTTCAAGATGGAATTATTTTCTGCAGAAAAGAGGACTGATCTAATAAAGATATATAAAATAATGCAATTATTTGTTAGAGTAGATGTAGAGGACATGTTTTCATTGCTGGTGAGATGAGAATGTGTGCCTGTGTGTGTGTCTACATAAGAATTCAGGGGGAGCACCTGATATAACGTGTGCTTAGAATGTGGCTCTCTACCTTGAGAAGCAGTTGAGGTCAACAGTACTGATGCACTTAAGATGAAATGAGATAAATACATCAGGAACAAAAGAATATAAGTATATATTGATGTTCAGACTAAAAAAAAGGCAAATACATTAAAATAGTTATTTAAAATAGTTAACAGGTTAAATGGTTCTGAATTTGTTCTAAACTAAATAGGGGAGGCTGTGGAATCATGGTAATTTCATTGAAGTAGTAATCTAATGTTCTGGAGAACATGGCACACAGTGAAGTCTGAAGTCAATAGAATCTGGAATCAAAATTTACACTAATAGCAACTATGTCACCCATGTTGATTGTTGTAGAAACCCATTTGTTTTACTATTGTCCTTTAAGGGAAGAAATCTGACTGACATGAGACTCCAGAGCCACTGTGAGTGCCTCTTATTTGCCCTCTGAAACGGCCTAGAGAACCAATCAGTTCCAAGGGCAACAAATGCCAGCCTTGACAGAAATGCCCACATAGAATATGGAGGTCTACAGTACACAAAAGGACCCTTCAGCCCATCAGGTCTCCACTAATCAAAAACAACCACTTGGCTATTCTAATCCCATTTTCCAGCACTTGGCCCATGTCCCTGTATGTTTTTGCATCACATGAGCACATCTAAACACTAAATAACATGTTATAAGGATTTATGCCTCTACCACCCTTACCGGCGGTGAATTTCAGATTCCCACCACCCTGTGGGTGAAAAGAAAGTGTTCTCACATCCCCCTTAAACATCCTGCCCCTTCTCTTAAATCTATGCCCCTAGTCAATGATCCCTCCACCAAGGGAAAACGTTTCTTCCCTGTCTGTGCCCCTTCTAACTTTATACATCTCAAATATATTATTCTCAATTTCTTCTGCTCCCAGGTAAATAATCCCAGTCTATCACACAGAGGAAAAGAAATCTGCAATATGAATTTCATTACGGCACTTTCGAACATACCTTTAATTATAATGAATGCATTTGCTTGAATGGAGTCCTGGTTGTTGTTTGCATGACATGTATATTGCCCACCGTCTGCTTGGACTACATTCTGTATATAGAGTCCTCCTGAGGAAGTTATGGTATAACGAGGATCATGGGGTAAGGATGACCCATCACTTCTCATCCAGGTGATCCGTGGCTGTGGGTTTCCAGTTGCACTGCATTCCAACGTGACACTCTCACCGACCAACACTTCAGTATTTTGTGGTTGAATTACAAAGGCAGGTCGAGCTATTTTAGAGAAGAAGAACTAAATTCATTTCAAATGAATGTAGTAGCAAGTCAATATTTCTACATAGTCTAATCAATATCTATATTCTGAGCTTAACGCTATGATTCCTTCAGCTGGTAACAAAGATGACCAACTTTTCAAGTAGCATAGATATCTGATTTGCATTACCATGAACACTGTGATGTTAACCATTCTCACATCTGTAATACTTCACATTTACTCGGATGCTAGATATTTGGGCAGTCCATCATTAAGAGCAGCATGGTAGCACAGTGGTTAGCACTGTTGCCTCACAACACCAGGGACCCAGGTTTGATTCCAGCCTCAGGCGGCTGCCTGTGTAGAGTTTGCACATTCTCCCCTTGTCTGTGCAGGTTTCCTCTGGATGCTCTGGTTTCCTCCCAGAGTCCAAAGATGTGCAGGTTAGGTGGCCATGCTAAACTGCTCCGTAGCATCCAGGGATGCGCAGGCTAGGTGGGTTAGTCATGGAAAATGTGCGGTTACGGGGTTAGGATAGTGGGGTGGGTCTGGGTGGGATGCTCTTCAGAGGGTCAGTGCAGACTTAGTGTGCTGAACGGCCTCTTGCTGCACTGTTGGGATTCCATGAAACTCAAGCTGCACAATAATGCATGTTTTACTTGAAGGTAAGTTTGCGATTTTGAAACCATGTGCTGTGGGAAGCATGTCAGGGCAACGAATATTCTGGAAGAGGGTAAATTGGTTTCCTGGTTATGACATCATTAGGTTCCAATAAATGCCCATGTGACCTGGGGTTGCCATGGGGATAACTAACTAAGAAGCAAAGGGAAAACAGAAAAACAATTCCAGTGGAGTTGTTTTAGGCATTGTTTTGTTTCATAACATTGAGAATGTGTGCAAAGAAGAAACAGGCTGGGTAATAGAGTAATTTTCTCTTTGGCAGTTTTAGAACAAATCCTGGTGTTGAAGCACAGCTCTAAGAATACAGCAGCAGCTATGCTAATGCATCTGTTACATAGTTGAAAAGGGCAGAATACTAACAACACAAAGTATAAAATGTTGTGTACTGGGCAAAACAACTGTTGCAGCTTCGGTGCTGCCAGAACTTAACAGATCATGTGAAGGGGTCAGGAAGGGAGTCACTGAGGATTATGTGCTGTTGGGGCTGTTGAGACCCAAGTAAGAGAGAGTTTGTAGACATATTGTTAACTTAAATCACGTCCAGGGGTTTTGGATAGATGATAGCTGTTAGTGAATATGACTCAAAAGGCTGAATGGTCACATGGGAAATGAGAGATCCTACATAGCAGAGGCCAATTCGGAAAGGTTCTGAAATTGCATGGGATCCCATACTTGTGCGGCAAGTGACAATAGCATGCTTATAACCATGTGAGGTATATCTTTGTTGATTAGACTAATTAAAGTGAAATTTATCTTTTATTGAAAAATATTCATGACATTAATTTTAAAATTATATTGATTTGAGTTGGTCTATTACAGTAAAAGTTTTAAAAAGTGAAAGCTTGTTTATCGGATCTCTTTCCATTGTCTGTGCAAGATTTCCTTTCTTTATTGACAAAACGCATCAGTCTCTACGAGGATCCTGGCATCTTCAACCATTGCAATTTATTTTGAATATTTGACATTCCAAAACAGAATGTCGGAGTGTGTAAAATGCAATCTCCCAAAAGAGTTAACAGCCCCAGAAATTCACAACGTTAATACTAATGTCATCTCACTTGAAAAGAATATGGATTTCAGAAATAAATGTGTATAAAATGAGGGATGCCCAATTATTAATGTCCAGAATTATTTATCGTCAGAAACAGGCAAAAAATTTTACTGGATGTGCAGCACCTCACAAATACAGTAGAACCTCACCATCTCCCTGGGCCTACACTCATCCCTGGAACATGTGGACAAAAAGGACACCTATATCAGGTTCCTAATTATTGACTACAGCTCTGCCTTCAACATTATAATTCCAAACAAACTTATTCCCAAACCCCGGGACCCAAGTCTCTGCTCCACTCTCTAACTGGATTCTCAACTTCCTGACCAACAGACCACAATCAGTAAGGATAGACAACAACACCTCCTCCACCATAATGCTCAATATTGGTGTCCTGCAAGACTGCATACTCAGCCCTCTACTGTACTCCTTACACACACATAACTGTGTAGCCACTAACTCCATTTACATTTTTGCTGACAACACCACCATTGTAGGTCAGATCTCAAACAACGATGAATACAGGAAAGAGATTGAGCACTTAGTGGCATGATGTAAAGACAACAATCTGCCCGTCAATGTCAACAAAACAAAAGGAACTGGTCAATGACGTCAGGAAGCAAAGTGGAGGGCATGGCCCTGTCTGTATCAATGGTGCTGCAGTGGAAATGGTTGAGAGCATCAAGTTCCTGGGAGTGATGATCACCAACAATCTGTCCCACCCATGTTGACACAATGGTCAAGAAAGCTCAACAATGCCTCTACTTCCTCAGGGGGCTAAGGAAATTCCACATGCCCGTAAAAACTTTTACCAATTTTAAAAGATGCACCATAAAAAGCATCCTATCTGGTTACATCACAGCTTGGTATGGCAACTGCTCTTCTCAAGATCACAAGAAACTACAGAGAGTTGTGAACACAGCCCGGTCCATCGGTCAAAGCAGCCTCCCATCCACTGACTTCACTTATACTTCCTGCTGCATCGGGAAAGCAACCAACATTATCAAAGATCCCTCCCACCCCAGTTATATCCTCTTTCAACCTCTTGGGTCAGGCAAACAATGTAGAAGTTTGAAAACAAGTATGAACAGGTTCGAGAACAGCTTCTTCCCTGTTATCAGACTCTTGAATGGACCTCTAACGTTAATGTTGATCTCTCTGCACCTCCTCGGCAGTTGTAACACTGTATCCTGCATTCTGTTTTGTTAACCTGATGCATTTGTATAGTACAATCTGTCTATAAAGCATATTAGACGACACTTTTCACTGTACCTCGGTACAAATGACAGTAATAAATCAAATCAAATTAAAATCAAATCTCTTGGTTAATCTCTTGATTCCACTTCTTTTTGCTGAGAGACAGCAAGTTAATTAATAACATTTCAGAACATTTCCTTTGAGTCTTTTCTCAGAAACTTCCAAAAGTTCCATATCCGTTAATAACATTTCAGAACATTTCCTTTGAGTCTTTTCTCAGAACCTTCCAAAAATTCCACTTTCCCATAAAGGAAATGCATTTCAACCACCTATATCTGATGTTTTGAGTGGCAGCTTCACTATAGGCACTAAGTCCCACAGCTTCATACACTGGTACTCGTATTGAGATTTAGTTGATTCCTGACCAGAAGCTCAGCAGCCAAGTTTTAAAAACTAAGAAATTTGCTGTTATTTAAACATTTTAGGTAAAGGAAATTTATTGTCAAATATGTGCAGCTCATAAGATTCGATAATTAGACAAACAAAAATAAGTTTAGATACAGATGTTTACCAATAGCAAACATCTCTGCTTACATATCCTACAACTGCGCTAGTTTAGAGAAAAAAAATCATACCAATTATTTACCTGTCCATCTAATTAATGCCTCTAGGCTTCAGGTCTAAGGTCTTGCTGTCTTTGGCTCCATCTCTTGGGCTAGCACTTCATTCCTTACTGAGAACAGCATCTTCTCCCTCATTGTACCAATGTCTCTCAGTGATGAATCGCCCAGAGTTAAGCACTCGGCCTCACTAATCTTTCTGTGATGTACAAACATCCAATTGTTTATAAGCCCTTTGCTCTAAAACAAATTAATCATCAGTCAATTATGCTCTGGAATGGAGTAAACAGCTGTGCCAAAAAGCTTTGTAACTGCATACCTATGTTGTTTATCAGAGCCCAAATATGCAGTTTGGTGTCAAAGAAATTGTGGTTCTGTCAAAATATCCAATGGGCTGAATTTGCACCTATTTTCAAGTCTGTTGGTCCAGTGGACCTTTCCAATATTATGTCTTATTGAATGTATTTCAAGTCTTTTCACCAGACTGCAGGGGAGATGCTAGCTAATATGAGGAATTAATAGAAGATAATATTTGCATTTACAAGGTGCGCATGAAGCTCAAGTGTCACAAAGGTGGTCAAAAGACACAATTAATCACCTTTTTATGTCTTGAAATTCATACAAATGAAAAACTACAAATGTTGTAGCTCCGAAATAAAACTGAGGGCCAGCACGTAAGCAGAAGCTGAACTACATTCGAAGAATGGGAAATGGGAGACTTTCATCACAAGTGTTCCAACTCCATATAAACTGCTGAGCCAATTCAGTATAGAACTGCACTGAGAATAAATGAGTGAAAGAGCAAAAATGAAAAGATTTGCAGATGCTTGTAAATTACATCATCACTTTGCAGTTTTGGAATCACGCACAACTCCTTACAGATGCATTTCAAATGGCACCCAATACTAGTGTTATGGACCAGACTAAACCCACTCAAAATACATTCTGAAGAGTGCCTAGACCCAAACTTTTTGTTATTTGAAAGGTAAGCGTAACGCATTACATTCCAAATGCAATTCAATTGGTCAAACTATTCAACTTCAAGCATAACACACCTTATTTGTACACTACAGTTAAAATACAGACAAAATGAAAATTAAAACATTAGCTTAAATATAACTATCAAAATGCTTAACAAAATAATAAATATTAACGACTACTAATTAACTGCTCCAACATTGTAATATCCCATAAACACACCCTTGGCAAAGGCAAATTGAGTAAAACAGATTGACTCACATTCAATTCTAGCAGCAGGAAGAGAACCCCAGCTTTTAGCTGTAACAGCGAGAGGAATAACAGTTTTCACATCAGGCTCCAAGACCCCAGCAACTGCTGAAAGCTAAAACTAGAAATCCTGATTCTGTAGAAGATGACTCCACACATTCAGGCTGCTTTTATTGTGCCAACTTTAAAAAAAAACATGGTCTCCCAAGCTGTTTATTTTGTTGCCTTTGAGCGCAACGTTCATTACCTCTGTCTCAAACTTTCTTCATTAAATAAAAATCCAAGACTAAACACACCTCTTGAAGCCATAGTATCGTCACACCTGCCACATGTTAAAAAAACCCATAAGTATACAAAGATCATTTCATTTTTAAAAACTTTAGCCTTACACTAATAGTACACTACAATACATATACATTACATTGACTCCAAGCATTCAAACAGTCAATACTACAATCTATTTCAGTCTGTCTTCACCAGCCACCAAATGTCTTTGTCTTCATTCATCAAAGCCACAAGAACACGTCAGCAACTATGTTGTCTCATCCTGCCACATGTACAATTTTCAAATTGAATGGCTGTAATAATAAGCTCCATCTAAACAGTCTGGAATTTTTATCCTTAAATTCCTCCAAAACCATTAAAAGGTTATGATCAGTATATACTATTGTCTCAGACACTTTACTGGCAATGTAAAAGTGGAAATGTTGCAACACCAACACCTAACTCAAGATCTCCTTCTCAATGGTGGAATATTTCTGTTGATGATTATTCATCAACGAACATGTCAATCAAAACTGACATCTATTTCAAGCCCACCGACATCCACAGCTACCTGGACTACACCTCCTCTCACCCACCTTCCTGCCATAATGGAACACCCTACTCCCAAATCCTCTGCCTCTGGCACATCTGCTCCCAAGACGGGGTGTTCCACTCACGCACATCCCAGATGTCCTCCTATTTCAAGGACTGTAACATCCCCCCCCCTCTGGTGATCAAAAATACTCTCAACCACATCTCTTGCATTTCCTGCACCTCTGCCCTCACATCCCCTCCCCCCCCAACAAAAACAAAGACAGAATCTCCCTTGCCCTCACATATCACCCCACTAACCTCCGTATCCAACGTATCATTCTCCGCTACTTCCGCCACCTACAATCTGCCCCCACAACCAAAGAGATATTTCCCTCCCCACCCCTATCTGCCTTCCGTAGGGACCGCTTTCTCCACGATTCCCTTGCCACTCCACACTCCCCATTAATCCCACCACCCCGGCACCTTTCCCTGCAACCGCAGGAAGTGCTACACCTGCCCCTACACCTCCCCACTCACCTCCATTCAAGGCCCCAAACAAACCTTCCATTTCAGACAGAGGTTCACCTGCACATCCGTCAACTTAGTCTATTGCATCCACTGTTCCCGATGTGGCCTCCTGTACATCGGTGAGACCAAGTGTAGACTTGGAGACTGTTTCATAGAGCATCTGCGCTCTGTATACGACAAATGTCAACACCTTCCGGTCACCAACCATTTTAACGCCCCCCCCCCGCAACTCCTTGGGTGACATGTCCATCCTGGGCCTCCTTCGGGGTCACAATGACACAATCCACAAACTGGAGGAGCAACACCTCATATTTAGCCTTGGGAGCCTACAGCCTGAAGGCCTTAACATAGAATTCACCAGTTTTAAAATCTCCCCACCCCTGGCCTCATCTCATATCCAAGCCTCCCTCTCATCCTTGCCTCCTTGACCTGACACAACTGTCCATCTTCTCTTCCACCTAGCTGCCCTTCCAATCCCACTGACCAATCCCACGACTCCCTACTTGCACTCACCTATCACCATCCCACCTATCTTCTCCAGCCCCACCCCTCTCTCTATTTATTTCTGAGCTCCCTGCCCCTTCCCCATTTCTGAAGAAGGGTCCCGATCCGAAATGTCAACTTTCCTGCTCCTCTGATGCTGCCTGGCCTGCTGTGTTCCTCCAGCTTGATACCATGTTGTCACAGCCCTTATCTGGATTCTTTGACTTCTCCTCCTGTTTCCACCTGTGGCTTTGTGACCTTGTTACCACACAGGCAGGAAAAATCCCTGGATATACATCATGTAATACCTCAGTTCCCTGACTTTCGCTGGCTTTTCAACCACAGTAGACATCAATCCATCTGTGATCCAGCTATATCATGACCAAGGATCAACTCTATTGCTGAAACCGAGAATTTCTCTATTACTTGTAGCACCATGTCATCACATTTTACCGGACTCTCCCACCTCACTTTATATAATGGAACCACTGATCGCCTCACCATGAATTCCAAATATTACCATTTTTTCTGGCAACACTCCTTCTAATTACATGTCTCCTCATCTCTCAACATCAAAGATTGACTTGACCCCCATATCTCTTAAAATCTTGATTTCTTTACCACGTCCTCTTGACATTCGTGAGTAAAGCTTACCCATACAAGTAAATTGTTTAAAGAGATCTGGCACTTTCTTCTCAACCAACTCCCGATCAGGTTGAATACTCTGGTGTAGCTTTTTAGCTTCTGCTGTGCTTATCCTGTTTTCCCACATCCACCTTCCCGGTGTTTTTCCTAAACCACCGATACTGTGACTTCATGTGGCCTACTTTATTACAATGAAAACACCTGAGCTTTTTTACTTCTCTTTGCACCTCATGGGTTTCCTTTTTACCCTGTGATAAACTATCTTTACTATCTTCAATGAGATTTCCTTTTCCCCAATTTCTAACCCTCACAGATTGAAATTGACGTTGGAAGCCAAATTTTGGTCAGTGAATCAACTCCTAATCATCGGCCATTTCCGCTGTTAATCTTGCAGTCTTAACTCTCTGTGCTTCCACATGAGATCTCACTACTTCAGGGAGTGAATTTATGAACTTCTCCAAAATAATCATCTCCTGAAGAGTGTCATATGTTTCATCTGTTTTCACTGCCCTTATCCACGTATCAAAATTACTTTGTTTGATCCCTTCAAACTCTTTGTACGTCTGACCAGGTTCCCTCCTCAGATTCCTAAAACGTTGTCTGTAGGCTCTTAGCACTAGCTCAAATGCATTTAAGATGGCATTTGTCACTGAATCATACTCCCCAGAGACCTCCTCTGATACTGATACAAATACCTCACTAGCTCTACCTACCAACTTCGTTTTGATCAACAATACTCACATGGATACTGGCCATTTCAGTTGTTTAGCCGCTTTCTCAAATGAAATGAAAAAGGCTTCTCCATCCTTCTTGTCAAACTTAGGCAATGCTTGAATATATTTAAACAGATCCCCACAAGGCCTTTGGCTATGATGGAATTGCTCTCCATCACTGTCCTCATCACTACTCCTATCTTTCACCTGTAGCACCGCCATTTTAAGTTGACTTTGGTTTTCAGTTCCAACCTCTGAAGTTCAAAAACTCTCACTTTTTCCCTTTCTTCTGCTAGGACCTTCCTTTCATTTTCTTTCTCCTATGCTAGAACTATTTTCTCTTTCTGTTATTTTTGGTTTCAATCATAATTCAAACTGTTTCATTTCCTTTTCATGGTCAAACTGCTTCACTTGCAATTGAATTTTCGCCATTTCCAATGATTCCTATGGCATTTCCAGCAACTGTAAATGTCGAGCTATTGCTGCAATTACCTCCCCTTTTAGCACAGACAAAGGCAACCCCGCTCCAGCTTGTCTGCTAATTCCAAAAGCTTTGCCTTGCTCGCTTTTTGTAAAACTCCAGAATTGACTTCTTCCATCCCCAGGAGACTCTCAGCGACCGAAAGAGCCATTATCACACAAGGCACAACCTTTTAAACCAACCAAATGCAACAATCTGAAATTAAATAAAAAACAACAACACTCACCACTTTGAATCCAATAATCCTAAACACAACCTGGAATTCGAGATTTGATCCTGGATGAGCCCCACCTTTGTTATGGATCAGACCAAATCCTCTCAAAATATATTAAGAAGATAGCCTAGACCTTAACTTTTTCTTATTTGAAAGGTAAGTGTAAGGCATTGTGTTCCAGATTCAACTTGACTGGTCGAACTATTCGACTTTAAGCAAGACACATTTTATTTTTACCCTGCAGTTAAAATACAGACAAAATAAAACTAAAAGAATTGGCTTAACTGTAACTCTATATCAAAATGCTTAACAATATATATATAAACTTCTGCTAATTAACTGTTCCAATGTAGTAACATCCCATAAACACATCCCTGGCAAAGGCAAATTCGGTAAAATAGATTGTCTCAATAGATTGTGCAATTCTAGCAGCAGGAAGAGAACCCTAGCATTGACCTGTAAAAGAAAGGGGAATAAGACCTTCCACATCCAGGTTCAAGACCCCAGCAACTGTTGAAAGCTGAAACTAAAATTTCTGGTTCATTTGAACTTGACCCACCTATTTAAGCTACTTCTATTGTTCAAACTTCAAGAAAAAAATCAAAAGCCTCACAAGCTTTTTACTTTATTGGCTTTGAGCAGCGTGCTCACACCTCTGTCCCAACCTTTCTTTATTAAAAAAAACAAAATACACCCCTTAAAGTCACAGTATTGTCACACTAGGATAAATTTTAACTCATTCCTTTCTATAAAGGAAGAACTTTAGAAGTAGCTCTGCTTTTAATTCGAGTCCTCACTTGGGTGAATGAGTAGAAAGTGACTGAGGAAGAGAGTAAAGAGACAGCATTGCGTGAAAACAATCTTATCTCTCCTGTTAGGTACTTACATCTGTTAAGAAATAAGCACCAATGTAGTTTTTCATTCACCTTCTGTCACCTCTCCTCAGCGACACTCACCCACTTCATAAGCCCACACACAACTATCATAAAGCAGCAGGATTTAAAACAAGAAAGCTTACCTGGTATCTCAAAGTACCGAAGAATAACTTCAGGAGTTTTCACTTCTCCTGCTACATTTTTGGCCATGCATTGATAAACTCCTTGGTCATCCTCCTGAGTATTCTGGATCATTAAAGTGCCATCATCCAGTAGGTTTAAGCGTGGGTTGTATTTCATATCTAAAGCATTACTATAAAGAAACAAAAGCATCTATCACCAAACAACTGCAAACTTAAAGTATTTATAATTCTTTAAATCCCACTAAAGAAAAACAAGATGTTGAATCTCAGTAGTAGCTACACCTACACTAAGTGCACTGGCTGATCACAATCAGATGTTAATTGAGTTATCCACAATAAACAAATTCAGGAAAGGTCAGCAATAATATTTTAACATTTAACTATCAGAGGGAAACAATTTATTCAAATATTTTCCATTCCTTTGAATTAGTGAGATTTCTCTGTTTCAAAATTGCAAGGAATTACAAGCATTGCTTTGTAGGCATTTTGATCCACATTCAAGACATCGGGTTTAATGTTGGTGTATTTTGAAATTACCTCAAACACATAATAAATATCACAGAATTAATGGATGAAGCAGATAAAGTAGAATTAAAATTAATACATGATTAAAAGGTGAATAACTGTCATATACACAGACTCAAAATTATACCATATTTCATTTGTTTGTCATGATGTGGAGGTGCCAGTGTTAGACTGGGGCAGACAAGGTCAGAAGTCATACGACACCAGGTTATGGTCCAAAAGGTTTATTTGAAATCACAAGCTTTCGGTGTGCTGCTCCTTGAAGGAGCAGCGCTCTGAAAGCTTGTGATTTCAAATAAACCTGTTGGGCTACAACCCGGTGTTGTGTGACTTCTGAGCTCATTTGTTTGAGTTTTCTATCAATGCAAAAAAAAGGACCATGTGGAAAGAGAGGAAATCAACTTCTAGGTTTCTATTTGCCACAGAGCGGAGTGCACAGGATTTCTGAACCTGTGGTAAAAACAAATCCACGACTTTTCTAATTCAAAATGAAATATTTCAAGGGAATTATTTTCTTTGAAATATATTGTGAATTTGTAGCTTCACACATGCACTTTAAACTTGCACTGTTTTTTGGTCAACCAATAACCTCAACTACTCAAAAGATTATCTTGTTTGGTACAATTTTGCATTCCATAGAAAGTATTTATGGGATCATCAGTCGATTATCTGTATGGGATTCAGAACGTGCAAAGCAAAACAATCACAAAGTTGGGAGGAGGATGTTGGAAAGTAAGGCTTTCAATGATTCATGGGTGCCAATTTTTCTATTGGTTGAAAAAGTTGGCCAAAGTACTAGCAGAGCTTGCACTTTGAAAAGTGCTTAGGGATCTCTCACAAACACTTAAAAACAGCAGGTGGTGTCTTGATGATCAACAGATTGCTGGAGGCAGCAATCTTTACAATGTAGAAGCTCCTCAGTGCTACACTGAACTGTTGGGTAAGATTTTGTGCTGAAATCTAATTCAGGACCTAACCCAATGATTGCACTCTCTGACATAAGAGTGCTCTCAACTGGGCAAAGTTGACACTGCTTTAATTTTCTGCACTTGAACTGGGGATGAAACTACAATTCCTTTAAAACAAAATGCATTGTAAAGACTTGTCAATCTTGTAATCGCGATGATTGGGTTAATGCTGATGACCCAATTTCATGATGTTATGAAGACTTAAGACAGTAAAGCCAGTTGAACTCTGGATCTCAATGAAGACAGATTTACCATCTAGGTCACGAAGCTTTAGAAACAATGTCTACCTTGTATCTGATTGCTGTTATGCAATAAAAATGCATGTTGTTTGAGAAAAGGATCTTTTTCTGTGAAATTAACTTGTTTTCTTCTACCGCGTTAGATCAGGTAGGTCTTTTTTATTATTTATTCATTTGTGGGATGTGGGTATCGATGGCTGGCCAGCATTTATTGTCTGTCCCTAGCTGTCCTTTAAAAGGTGGTGGTGAGCTGCCTTCTTGAACTGCTGTAGTCCACTTGCTGTGGGTTGACCCACAGTGCCATTAGGTAGAGAATTCCAGGATTTTGTCCCAGCGACAGTGAAGGAACGACTTACATTTCCAAGTCAGGATGTAATTGGCTTGGAGGGGAACTTGAAGGTGGTGGTGTTCCCATATTTCGGCTGCCCTTGTCCTTCTGGACAGAAATGGCCGTCAGTTTAGAAGATGCTGTCTGAGAATATTGAGTGAATTTCTGCAGTGCATCTTGCAGATAGTACACACTGCTGCTACTGAGAGTCGGTGGTGGAGGGAGTGGATTCTTGTGGATGTAGTGCAAATTAAGTGGGCTGCTTTGTCCTGGATGGTGTCAAGCTTATTGAGTGTTGTTGGGGCTGCACTCATCCAGGCAAGTGGGGAGTATTCCATCACACTCCTGACTTGTGCCTTGTAAACAGTGGACAGGCTTTGGGGAGTCAGGAGTTGAGTTACTCGCCGCAGTATTCCTAGCCTCTGACCTGCTCTTGCGACCACTGTGTTTATGTGGTGAGTCCAGTTGAGTTTCTGATCAAAAGCATAGTTGACATCACGACACTGTACACAGCAGTGCAGATTGAAGTTTGATCTAGTTGTACAGAATAAATATAAATCCAGAAGAAGTTTCAGTTACTGATTTATGAGCCTTAACAGAAATTTGCGCAAACAGCGTGCAGCTGTTTGTGGTATGTCATGGTGAGAAAGCAGAAAGAGTCACAGAGAATCCTGACAGGAGAAGATCAACCTTATCATAGGAGTTTTGCATAAACCATTTAGTTTATATGGTATTAAATCACTGAAGTCACATACGACAAGCCAACACAAAGAGAAAGTCACAGAGAAGTTATTAAGAATCAATATCAGTACCATGGAAGAAGAAAGCCTTGTACACGCAAGCAGTGCCCAACTCTTAAAAAGACAATGCAGTATTGTAGGACAACAGGTCACTTCCAGAAGATTCACTGAAGTAGGACATAAAGTAACAGGAGGTCAAATAGCTCCCCTCACAAAGTGACCATAACATGACCAAGTTCAATGTAGTGTTTGAAAGCAAAAAGCATGAATCAGCTGCTAGAGTTTTAGATTTAAGTTAGGTTGACTTTAACAAGATGAGACAGAGACTGTCCACAGTAAATTAGAAAATGTACTAATGGGTAAAACAACCGAGGAACAGTGGAGGATGTTTAAAGAAACATTTAACAATACAAAACCAGTTTATACCCCCAGGAGGGAAAGTTCCAATTCACAGATAAAATCAGCCACGGGCAATTAAAGAAATAAGGGACAGCATAAAACTAAAAGACAGGGCTTACAAAAATGCAAGAAACAGCACAACTCCTGAATGGGAAAGGTACAAAGACCAGCAGAAGGCCAAAATTCAGCTTAAAAGATCTACCAAAAGGGATTATGAAAGGAAACTTGTCAGGGACATCAAAATGAATAAGAATAAATTTTATAGTTACGTAAAGGGAAAAAGGGTGGTCAGAAGTATCTGACCATTGGTGGGGACATTGTCAAATACTGTGGGGAAATGGCAGACATGTTGAATAATTACTTTGTCTCAGTATTTACAAAAGAAAACCAGGACAGCTTGCCAAAGTCCCAAGAAAATTGATAGTGGATCGGGATCAGGGACTGAATATAATTAATGTAAGTAAAACATCAGTAATGAGGAAATAAATGGAATTACAGAGTGACAAATTCCTGGGACCTGATAGTTTTTATCCAAGGGAGTTAAAGGAAATTGGGGAACACATTGTAAATGGCCTAAATATAACTTTGCAGAATTCCCTAAATTCAGAAGTCATTCCTCCGGATTGGAAAATTTCATGTCACTGCACTTTTTAAGAAGGGCAAAAGAGGGAAATCATGGAATTACATACCAGTTAGTTTGGGGAAGTTGGTGGAGACTATAATCAAGATTGAATTCCATGGAATTGAAGGCAAATTACTGCCATGACTGGGAAATTGGTTGAATGGCAGGCAACAGTAAGTAGGAATAATGGATAGGTACTCGAATTGGCAGGATGTGACCAGTGGTGTCTCATAAGGATCTGGGTTAGGGCCTAATTATTCATATTATTTATTAATGACTTGGAAAATGGCATCAATAGTCATACATCAAAATTTGCTGATGACAGAAATATAGGAGGCATTGTAGACAGTATAGTCGATGGCATAAAATTACAAAGGGCTCTTGACAGACTAAGTGAGATAGACTAAATGGGCAAAACTGTAGGAAATGGAGTTTAAGCAAGTGCAAGGTTATCCATTTTGGACTGAGAAAACAGCAATCAGGTTACTTTTTTTTTCCGGAAGACTGCATTAAGCCTCATTCTATCTGATTATGTCATAAAGACTTGGTTGGGAAAAGGTAGAACAGCTCTGGATGTTATGGAAGACAGACCATCTAGGTCTTCTCATTGTTTAAATAACAATGTCTATCTTACTCATGCAACATGGATCTGATTGGTATCATGGAATAAAATACATTTTGTTTAGAACAAGGGTCTCTTCTCATTAGTCTAGACTACCTGGGGGTTACCCCTACCACTTTAAACAAAGTAAACCTTGTGGACTCAGAACGGGGGATACTGACAGCTATCTGTCCAACCCTACTTTGGTAGTGATTGACATCACATGCTCAATCAACTATTAAATGCTCTATATTTTGTATGCAAATAACCCATTTTTACACTATACTATTTGAGGAGTGAGGATTACATTGTTATCATGAGGTAATGATCATAAATGGGCTGTTTTTCCTAGTGATTGTCCCTATTGTAACTGGCAGCTGTTTCCACTGAAATAGCAGCAGTATCTCACAAAAGTACACTGACTCTTACTGTTTTGCCAGGCCTCATAATGGGACAAACATCTAGACAGTTGTTCCAGCCCAACCTCTGAAACTTGGGCTGCAAGCACAGTGTATATGAGTGGGTTTATGACTGAGCTGTTTGAAAACATTAAGATAAAACTTCCATTTCATTCAATACCCTTGCAAGCTGAGAGCAGCACATCTACTTACTTGTTCCGCAGCCATATTATTTCAGGTTTTGGATTACCCTCAGCTCTGCAGGTAAAGTACACAGTGTTCCCAGATGTCACATCTGCATCCTGTGGCTGTGTCGTTATTCGTGGCTTTTCTACACAAATTGAAAATTTATTTTAAAACTGCTCCCAAAATCAAGAGGACTAAAAATCACATTTTACATATTACTCTGCATTCCAATATAGGTTACGTCTGATCACAGTTCCATCACCTTCTTACACAACTGGATGAAAAACTTTGTTCCTGATTTACAGCATCTGCAGTTCTTTTGGTTTTGATCTGAAAAACTTTGGTTATTCAGCGTAACAAAAGTCAACAGCAAACATAAAGCAAAGCTTTATAAATTTAAAGCCACAGTGTATCCATGGGCCATGAAAAATCTCAGCATTATTAAAATGTTCAAGGATTACAGCTTTGTCAGTTAATTATGCTACAATACCAACTTTACCCAGCTTTCTTTTTAGGAAAAAGGACAAGGCAAGGACTGAAGTCAAAGCAGCCTAAGTTTTGAAAAGAACGGATGAACATAAGCATGACATTTTATGATGACGAACACATTGAAAATGGTCAACCAAGCTCTGTGTCATTAGCACAGCAAGTAAAATATTGGGGAATGGTGCAACATATGGGAGAACAGCTGCTTCAAAAGCAAAGGATGGTGGGATGTGATCGAAGCTTATGATTCTCAGTACCAGTGATTTGTCATCTTGTTTGCATTATTGTAGGGCAAGCCAGTGGCCAATTCTTCAGAGAGGAGGTAATGAGGCAAAATCCAGAAGAAATCTAACAACAATGCCTTGCATGTACATCGGACCTTTGACAGAGAAGAAAATATCTCAAGGTACTTCACAGTTCATTGCACACTCCGTGGTATAGACAAGTAGCCAGGAAGATGATGAGCTGCTTATTCACAACAAGTTCACAAAAGAAGATACTTAAGAAGCCACTACGTCAAACTGAAACACACAATTATGCGCAAACTTTCCATTTTTTTTTCACTCTGGTCTTTTGTCTCCTTCTCTTCATGCTCCTACTGAACATTCAGGTCCCTGAAAATGTCATATTGCAACCCTAAATGTCTCTCCTATTTTTCCAAAATCTGTCTCAGAACCCATCTTTTTCACCGACCCTTTGGACACTGCTCCTCACCTTGTCCTTCCTGACTCAATATCCATTTTCCTTATCAGAAACAGAAACAGAAGTTGCTGGAAAAGCTCAGCAGGTCTGGCAGCATCTGGGAAGAGAAATCAGAGCTAAAGGACCCGAAACATTAACTCTGATTTCTCTTCACAGATGCTTCCAGACCTGCTAAGCTTTTCTAGCAACTTCTGTTTTTGTTTCTGATTTACAGCATCCGCAGGTCTTTCGGTTTCCATTTTCCTTATGCCTGTCTCTGAAGTATCTTTATGTGTTCCTAAAGCAAAGATGGCATATCAATGCGAGTCGAACAAGTGTCTGTCAAACTGCTTTAAAGCTAATAAAGTCAGAGGTTGCTACGTGATGACTATAAACTATCAGACACCAGCTTATTGGCAAAAAGTTCATTATATGGGGAATTTTGGTTGCAAAATTTCTAAGTATTACAAGATATAAAAAAAAAATACAATTCAAAATGGGAAGCTGATGGTAAACTGATGTTCGGTAATATAACACTTGTACAGCCATGTGGTTTATATTGATTTGACCAAGGTGAAACTCACCACAGTTAAATTCTTCTGGAGTAACTGTGGCAACGGACCTTCCCTGTAGCCTTTTGGGATACTCACAGGTCGCTGCTGCTTGTGTGTTACCAGATTCCACATATTGCTGCAACATCTCCGCCAACCACATTAGATCGCAGTTACAATTCAGGCTATTTGAGTCCAATCTCCTATTAAAAAGAAGTATCTTCAAGTGAAGACAAACTGTTATTTTAAACACATTGCTTTGTATGAATAACTTAAAAGACTGGTTTATAAAGGCATGAGTTCTTGAAAAGTATTGTTCCTAAGTCAAACAAAGACATACACACAATGTGATAAAAGACCATTTTACTTCGTCACTCGATGTATATATGTCTTCAATATGAACATAACAATATAAAGCTCAAGAAACAACTTGGAATGTACTTTCAAAAACAAAACTGAAGTCTTAGCTAAATCAAAATCGACATAAATCCCAAAATTGCTGGAAAGATGAAGCAGGTCTAGCAGCATCTGTGGAGAAAAAGCAGAGTTAACGTTTCGGGTCCAGTTTAGCACGGTTGCCTTCAATACTCAGAACTCTGAGTATAGGAATTGGGATGTTATGTTGAGATTGTACAGGCATTAGTGAAGCCTCTTCTGGAGTACTGTGTCCAGTTCCAGTCTTCCTGTTGTAGGAAAGATATTAGTAAGTTGGAGAGGGTTCAGAAGAGGTTTACCAGGATGTTGCCGGGAGTGGAGGATTTAAGTTATAAGGAGAGGCTAGGACTTTATTCAACGAAGTGCAGGAGGTTGAGGGTTGACCTTATAGAGGTTTATAAAATAATGAGGGGTATAGATAAGGTGAATGACAGGTGTCTTTTCCCTAGGGTGGGGGATTTCAAGACTAGGAAGCATATCATAGAATCCCAATAGTGTGGAAGCAGGCCATTTGGTCCATCAACTCCACACCAACCCTCCAATAAGCATCCCACCCAGACCCATCCTTCATGTAACCCTGCATATTCCTAGACATTAAAGGCAATTCAGAATGGAGGGATATTGGCCAAGAACAGGCAGGTGGGACTAGATTAGATTGGGAACATGGTCAGAATGGACTGGTCGGACCGAAGGGTCTGTTTCAGTGCTGTATGACTCTATGACCCGTTTTCAGAACAAGAACCATGTTCCAGTTTCCACAATTGTTTGTTTTTTTTTTCTTCAATATAACTCTAGTATCTGAGAAACACTCCATTAGTATGACTCAATAAGATACCCGCAAACCATCTGCTTTATTTTCAGTTACCAGGTAAATACACAGGTGTGCTGTTTCCTGTTCCTGGCTGCCAGGATGCAACAACTATAGGAATCTATGATGGAGAAGGCCCCAGGAATGTAGAGGAATCCAACTGATATTTCATTCATTTCAGTGTAATCTGCAAAACAACTGTGGAACCGCATTTATGAACGTGCAATGTGAAAGATTAGGATTTCCACACTGTGCTGCATCCCAAGAAGTTCAACATGACCAGGAGCAGGCACAGGAAGATCTGCCCTAGTATCTTTTGATTTGATACAATGCGCATGCGATTTATGTGAACACCTTCAATCATCCTGTTCCCTCTTCAATAATAAAGCAACTAGACTGGCACTCCACACCTTATGCAAACGATGACCATTGATTAGTCACAAAGCTTGCTTGTACCAAATTGCTCCATTAATTATAATTCTTCCCGCTCCCACATCCCCATAAACAAAGTTAGTTTCTCTTACTTACAGTCTTTTCAATGATTCTAACTGACTGAATGTTCTTGGTAAAATCTGCGACAATCTATTGTTGTGCAAAAATCTGTAAAACAAAATATAACATCAAAATATTATTTCTCTGTAGACCTAGTGCACAAAAGGTATTTGCTTGTTTTACAGGAATGAAGTCACTGTTCAGCAGTTGTGAATTGAGCAATAGGCATTTAGCCAAAGCAGATACCTTGGTTCCTTTTCAAAATTCAAGTAAATAAAGAGAAAAAACAGATGCAATACATTGTACACAAATAACTTCTTCATGGGTCAAAAATAAAACAGAATTTCAGTAAATAAGCAATTTGTTTGCACCAATAAATTACACCAATAAATTACCAACATTTAAAAACTCTTCGAAAAATTTTCATAAGAATTTGATGTACATAATTTGCTGCATCGTCAGCACTTCCTTCAGTTCATAACACAGGGTATATAACAGTAAATGGACAGTTCTAAATTTTAACCAATTGTAAACTTAATATTGGCATTCATATTGATAGGTAACCATTTTGTGTAATCAGTGGATGTTTTTGTGATCAGCCAGATGTAAGACATCTGCCTGAACAGATCATAGAAACACAGAAAATATAAGGCAAACATGAATGTTAATTGGCCCGTGATGTCTGCACCAGTTGGGGGAACTGCTCAATATTTACCAACACAAATTGCAAAGAAATTCATGTAAGTACTGTTCCGCTTGAAGAGTCATGTTGTTTTATGTTGGTGTGGCGCTCAGTTCTTAGCTAAAAGTCCAGATTTGGGTTTAGCAAATGTGCAAAAAATATTGCTGGAGTCTAGCTTCCCACTGTCCATTGGCCTCTATACCCATTTGGGCACCAGGTTTCCATAGACAAATGGGAAAAATTAAAGTGGTCAATTACAGGACTACTCCTCCAAGTTCCATTATGAAGCAGGCAGTAGACTAATTAACCAGCAGCAACCTAGTTCCAACCTTCCAGTTCCATCTTTGGGGAAGTCAGTACTAAACAGACAGACATGAGTCTCCACTCCTCCTGGCAGAACATGGTTTGAACATTTCACCACGTAGGCACTATATGTCAAAAATGCCATCCAAGCATCCAAAATAGGAGAAATAGATAATTAGGCCCCTTGAGCCTGCTCCCCATTTAAAAAGATCATGAATGATCTGTTTGTGGTTAAAATTCGACATTCCCAACTTCCTCCAATAACCTTGATTCTCCAGATTAGTAATAATCTATCTGCCACTGCCTCAGAAGTACTTAATGACCCTACTTCCATTGCCTTCTGGGGGATTATGATGAAAAGCAAAATTTGCCAAAAATGCTTCAGAGCGTTGTCACCATCCCATGATCAACCTAATGAGAAGCTAACCAAACGAATTCATAGCTTGGCTTTAGATTGATACATAGGCCTAGTGAAGGCCCACTGAGGTGGACTGAACTACTAAATTGGGTTTATTTGAATACACCTTACACACTAGGAATTTAATCTGTATTAAGACACGACTGTCATTGCAACAAGAAATACCTGAATACTTTTCCAACGTGCCACCAAAAGAATGGTGCCAAGTTAAAGTTGATATCAACCTGAAACTAAAGGCATTGGTGTCCCAAAGGAGTTACTGCTACTTTTTTTAAAAAAACAGAAGACAAGTCACACTGTAGATTTCGGGCAGTTGAGGTTGGAATAACATTGTTCATTCCTCACCCTCTAAAGTCAATCCCCAACTGGTAATCAGTGCTGTGACTGATGAATTACATTGATAACACAGCTGTTTAGCTATATCAAAGACATTCACAGGACTTTCACACTAACTTGCTGTAAAACTCTCAATCCTTTGAAAGCAAAATGATTTTGTTAGTACTCTAATAAACATTGTATCCTAAACTGCAGTAAGAGAGCAGCTTTTATACATCAAGGTTAGTTCTTGCCTGTCAAAAATACAATAAAAGATGAATGTTTAAGGGCTTAAACACAAAATATATGACATGCCTACATTTTAAAGAGAGGTTTGAGGCATTAATAGTAGCACAACATATTTTACCTTCTATTTTTGTTATTTCCATTTATTCATCAACACTAATGCTGTCTGGTACAGCTCCAGAGACCACAGTTCTACCTTACAGGCAGCTGCATGTCTGAGACAGCTGTACAACTTGGTAAGCCCAAGACAGAATATCGGTCACGAGTTCAAATGAACAGGAGTTACTTGGGAGTGAATATTGTTGCGGTCGCTCCACATACTCTTAAAACAAATCTCTTTCATTTTTAACAGTAACCCAGCAAGTCTGTCATTTCCAATACCTCTGAATTGGCCTCATTTTACAACCAGGTTTGGCTGTCAATACCCTTTAAAGTTTTTCTCAAGTGGTAATATATTAAATGTATTAGGAAATCGCGGCACTTACAGCCTTTCAAGCTTTGGAAGATCACTGAAGGACTCAGGTTCTAAAGATTCAATTTGATTGAAGTGGAGATACCTATTTAAAAATAAATAGAAAGTCCAGGTAACATTGAGATTTTCAACCAATTGAGAAAGTAGGTATTCTAGCATGGCTTATTTTACCAAAATGAACAATTAATAGCCAATGACTTACTTATATGTAATTTAGGTTTAATTTTAACATTCAATAAAGCTATATAACACCAAGAAAAAGTTTTGCTAAATTCACATACAGTAGTCTCTGTAAAACTGAATAAACTTAAATTAACCACAAGCAACAGTCAAGACAATCTCTTCCCTTAGCCCCATCATGTAAGATTGCATGATTTCTCTACATTTAAATTAAACTAAGCATAAAAAGAAATCTCAACAATGCTCTCACCGGTGGTACACTGTGCAAAAACAGTATCTATTTTGTTTGTGCTTTCAATATAAAATTTCAAACCACGACTTCTGAAACGCAAACTGGTTCATTATAAAGAAAAAAAACTGACACTCAAAACAAAGTGCTTCATTTTGAAGAAGGGCTGCACATGAATACTTCAGTAAACCCAATGTCTAATTTTATTAGTGAGCCTTTTAATGTCACTGGAGATATGCATCAAAAGTAGAGATTGCATGATCTGCTGTTTCCAGCAGACAACAAGCTAGCATGGAACAGGTCTCAGGACATCATGCCTATACCTAACCAGTCAATTCTGTCCACTAACATTAAATTTAGAGGGTCAACATAACTGAAATTTCTTGAGTGATGCATTTCAGGAAGCATCATTCCACAGTGGAAGTGTGGAATTGTGAACTCATTTTTTTGTCTCAATTAGGGATCATCAATGAAGGAGATGCAGCAACACCCCTTAAAACAGCGAGTTACTGAGTTACATGGGAGAAGGTTTTCAGGTCTGATCCCTGATCTGACTTTAGCTGAGGCAGCAGAAGGAGCGGTTCAGTTAGCGAGTTTTACGAAAATGAGCTGCACCAGCCTTTCTCTGTTGTGCAATGCAAAATCCAACAGTAATGGCAATCTCATTCAGGCAAAGATCATAAAGGTGGTTTGAGAGAGAAACGGAAATATTCCACTGCTGCAACGGGTCATGTTCTTCTACAGGGTCAGGGTAGACATAACTTTACTCTGCAAGAGTACTTCTTACATTGGGCTGAGAAAATACTCAATGCTTAATAAATCAAACTATTTTAATAGGACACACTTCAGATCAGCCTAAATAATCCTTAGTTCACATAGTAAAACCAAACAAATTCCTCCAAGAATCTTGCTCAACAGTCAAGTAGTCCAAGGAAAAGAATAGTTCCCTCCCCCTCTCCTTATCCTCAGACCTCGTCTGAAGACGGATTCTCCACAGAAGCTTAGTGACCCCACTTATTAAAAAGGTACCGAGACATTTATACAGTTAAACAGTGTAAGAATGTTAATTATCAATTATGGGACATAATTATTTTGGAACGCATACACAGACTACACAAGAAAGGCTGTAGACAACTTGTTGAAAAAGTCTTTATGATACACTTTATAAAATTGCTTATATTTGGGCCACTCCAGAGAAAATACGATTTCCGCAACCACACAAAATGAACACAAATCCTTGAGCTGACATGTGGATTTGACCAGCTACAAACAAAGGCCATTTTGGGCAAATAACTCTCAGGATGGGAATCATAATTCTTTGAGACCACGTGTGGAGGCAGACTTGAAAACAGGGGGTGTTTCTGTTTAGGGATGAACACAGTTTCTTGTGCATTGTTCTTCTTCATTTTATGTGCAATTCTCTCTCTGCATCTCTGCAGCATCAGCCAACATACACTCATCACTCCCTGGAGATGTCAGAGACCAGGCAAAGACCCCAGTACCACTGTTCAGCGACGCCTCCTGAGAAGTTCTACTGAAGGCTGTCCAGGAGAGAAAGTTTATTTTTCCTTAGGGGTTGGCAACAAGTGACCATCCCAACTAATGAAGGAAGCCTACAAAAAGGTTTTGGACATCAGTGCCCAAAGGTAGGCTCAAGAGAAACTGGTTCAAATGCCACAAAGACGATGAATATTCTGCTGCACTCCAGCAGGGTATGTACCTCTCTACTCAACGTTTCATGCCCCAGTGAGTCAGAGTTGGCACAATAAGCATGCCATTGCACAAAACTGTCAATGACAACACTGAGTCATAGAGTCAGATAGTACAGCACGGAAACAGATCCTTTTGGTCCAGTTCGTCTGTGCTGACCAGATATCCTAAACTGATCTAGTCGTATTTGCCAGTATTTGGCCCATATCCCTCTAACCCCTTCCTATTCATATACCCCTCCAGATATCTCTTAAATGTTGTAATTGTACCCATTTCCAGCACCTCTTCTGGCAGCTCATTCCATACATGTACCACCCTCTGCGTGAAAAAGTTTCTCCTTTTAAATCATTCCGCTCTCACCTTAAACCTATGCTCTATAATTTTGGACTCCCTTAACCTCGGAAAAAGACTTTGGCTTTCAACTTATCCATGCCACTCATGATTTTATAAACCTTCTATAAGGTCACCCCTCAGCCTCCGGTGCTCCAGGGAAAATAGCCCCAGCCTATTCAGTCTCTCCCTATAGCTCAAAGCCTCCAACCCCAGCAATATCCTTGTAAATCTTTTCTACACTCTTTCAAGTTTAACAACATCTTTCATAAAGCAGTGAGACAAGAACTGAACACTGTATTTTAAAAGTAGCCTCACCAATGTCCTGTACAGCTGCAACATGATGTCCGAACTCCTATATTCAATTCACTGACCAACGAAGTCAAGTGTGTCAAACACCTTCTTCACCACACTGTTTACCTGCAACTCCACTTTCAAGGAACTATGCATCTGCACTCCTAGGTCTCTTTGTTCTGCAACACTGCCCAGGGCCCTACCATTAACTGTGTAAGTCCTTTCTTGATTTGCCTTCCCAAAGTGTAACACCTCACACTTATCTAAGTTAAACTCCATCTAATCAAGGTCCTGTGCCAGGTAACTCTATCAGATGCGATCAATGTCTGTCACTTCATTTCATTTATCGGTTTAGAACCATTGATACCACAGTGATGCTCCCTTTCACACCACTACCAGAGCTTACACTTATAACAAAAAAGGAGCTACAGCACGCTCAGAAATTTAAACATCATCAGCTCAGTGGCCTTTCATACCATGAAGGGAATGTGCAGCATCTAACAGCATTTCACCAAACCATTACCTGGAACATGGACATATCATAAAAAATACACTGAAAAAGAGTTATCTAGACTCGAAACATTAGCTTGCACTCTCGCCACGGATGCTGCCTGACCTGCTGGGCTTTCCAGCATTTTTTGTTTTCAGTACAGATTCCGACATTTGCAGTAATTTGCTCCTATCACAAAAAAAATTGGCTTTGGGATGAACACCTCATTGGTATTTCAGGCACACCCATCACTTAATGCTTTACTGGTTTTCATTAGCTCTAACCCCTTGCTGACATTGAGACACTTTTCAATCAGAATCCTTTAACTCCCAAATTCCCCAAGCTACATTCTACTTACTAGCAGCACATAGACGATCACAGCTCTGGGGATTCACATCTCCCTGTGCATTCAAAGATACAGATAAAGTGCTCACATATTAATGCAAATGTCACTTAATGCCCCTCTCCTTCTTACAGAAGAGAATATGCACAGATAATGGGTAGGGGATGCCTGACATAATGCTCCTCACTTAGTTTGAGGACCAAGCCAGCAGCTGGCAGGAGAGCAAGGAGAACATGCCTTTGCTTTAGGGGAGATTGTTGGGGGAGATGTCCACAGCCATCTGTTGAGAAAGCCTCCAACCTGTTCCTCCCAGCTGCATATCAAGCAACATTGTCTTAAAAAATAGCCCTTGGTTAAGGGTGATTGCTTGCAACACTGACAAATCTTTGTTTTTCTCTGCAGCCTCTAGATATCAGCTTCAAGACTGGTACCAATAGAGGTACTCCACGTCTCTCTACCAGCACCTCAATGCATACTTCTGGAGGAGGATTGGCATTAAGAGACTGCACCATCAAGGTCTTTCTCCCCAGCCTCCAGCAGCGCAGAACCATTCATCTTGATGGGCAATGTATCTAGAATAGGTTCCTTATGCAGTCCACAGCTATGGCCGAGGTCTCTAATGCATGGAGCATTGCCAGAAGAGAGACCACTGCTGAACCCAATCCTGCTGATGACCCTCTGAATGAGATGAGACCTGACAGAGGTATCGAGGGAAGGACCTGGTTGAGGTGCCAGACTCAAATGTGAAGCAAAGGGTGGAGAAGCCTGTCCAAGCTCTGTCTGATATTATGACTCTGGCATGGAAGAGGTGGGCAACCATCAGCTCCAGCAGAACAATCAGTACCTGCTGGATTTGCACAGGGAAATTCATTCCCTCACTTGTGCCACGGAGACCATGGTATGTTGACTGCCCTCCTCAATAGGTGAGGGAGGTGCCACTACTGACCGGGAGGCTGGGCGACAGACAGGCACGCAAGGATTGTGATCTCAGGGCATTCCGGAAATGCCCTCTGCACTGCTTTCCCTCTATCAAATGCCTCCGTCAGGTCACACCAATGGGGTTACAGCTTGCACCCATGCAGCATACCACTGCAGGCTGGAGCCCCCGAGGTCTAAGCTCAACAGAGAGGCCTCCTGCCAAAAGACCATGGGAGGCAAGGCAGCAAAGCAGACAGCTGGCTCCCTCATGCTCGGTTCTGGCTGCCACGGTGACACCAGAGAGTAGTCACAGAAAAGGCAAGACTCAAAAACAGGGAACACACTTTGGGTGCATGGGCGTCAATGTTTTGTGCCGTGCTAGAAATAATTACACCATTTTGAACAACAGTTCTGTGGTCTCTTCTAATCCATTAAGGCTTCTGACAACTACTTGTAAACTACTTTAACGGGCGATAATTACCCCAAATAATTACCTCATTGTGCAGCAATGCGGGAACTGCTGAGGCACTCTCATTTTCTGCTGTCCTCTGGGGGGAACATATCATCTGGGAACTGGCATTTCAGCTGGAT